TTTTTAATTCAAAAACGAGAGACAATGTTTTGCGAGAGAGATTAACATTTGAGACACTTACCCGTGAAAAAGTGCTAAGAAAAGCACAAAAAATTAAACATAACAAACAGATAACGCAAGTGTACCAGAACCACAGTCAAGCATTGGCGAGCAAAACTACTCAAATGAAAATCAACGCAGAGCCAATTTTGAATTTCAAAAAACAAAACCTTAGAAGACAAAAGACGTCGTACAAAAATTTCAACCAGGGTAAAAGCCAGCCTATTGAGATAGAAACAAGAAAAGAAAACATGCACGAGATTTAGGAGAATATTTGGGACGAAAGATCTGAAAAACTGTTTGAAAATGGGCAAAGAAAGCAAAAACAGTATAAAACTAATTTGCGAGTTATGTGCAGGTGCCAACAGCTGAATGTGATAGTTAAGGAGTGATTAGAAAACTCGAAACAGATCGAAACAATGGTAATTAAAGAAATGGACGAAGAATCGGAAGTTGAGGGTTATATATTAAACAGTACGAACATGCAGAAATCTACAGCACAGACTCAGATTTTGAAAATGAGACTAGAAAAAGCCTATGATGGATAACCACAAAATGCATATGAAGGTCGGCATAAACTGGAACATCGACATAAACTCGACATAATTTTTTCTTCAAAACATGGAGGTCGTCTAAACAGATATTAACATCAACTTTTATAGAGGAGTTTTTAGCAGAGAACAAGCTAAAACAAATTCGTAACTTGTTGACTATATCAAAAAACCCACAAATAAAATGGGGGCTTCAAAAGCTAAGATGACATCAGCAGGATGGATAATACCAGAAGTTTTTCTATTACTTACAGAAAAAAAAACGAGATTTTTCTGGAGTTAGATCTTCAAGGAACTTAAGGAAAATCAAAATTTCGAAAATCCCCTCCCAAATCAAAGCCGCAAACTGACATGTTACAGTGAGATGAAGTGTTTGATTAGAAACAACAAATTCGAAAAAATTGAAAAATTTATTTGACAGAAAATGGGCATCAAAAAATAAATTAGTCTGTGAAACTTAAATCTAACACAGCGACGTTGACAGAATGGTTAAGACGATGAAAAAAGCGAATAATACAGTGAGCGAACCCACAAAAAAGTTTAACTGGACGTCTATACATAGACAAATATTTGACAAATTCAAAAGTTGGTGGCGATTATATTGAAAATTGTTCAGTACAATCCAAACCAAGAAGCAAGGTTAAAAATTGCGGCGCTAGCCTCAGAGGATTAAGCGCCACGTTAGAACAGAAAGAATTCAACTGGGTCTCTATATAAATTGCAGCAAGCTGTTTTAACGAGCAGGAAAAAACTATTATATGAATGAGTTAGAACTGCTTGCAGAAGAAGGGAAAACGGATTGTTTTAAGCACATTTTGTGGGTTGCAAATATAGTAGCTACAGACCACCAAGCGCTACTAATATTCCTAATTGCAAGTCGAGCAAGTACAACTCACAAATCTAGACTAACTAGATGGGCAAAGAGGTTAATTCCATTTCAGTTCAAGGTTTTTCATTTATTCGTTAGGGATAAGGTGATCAAAGATTTTATCTCAAGGGAACCACCGAGGAACCCATTGGAAAACAACATACTGTGATGAGAAATTTGATGTACCACCGATAAAAAAAGTTTCATGAAGCACTCGGCTGAAAAATTTAGCCGACGCAGTAAACTAACTCCACTCAGCCGGAACGCAAACGGTTTTGATCACGCTTATTCAATTTTAAGTTGGCGTGATAAAGTACACTGCTACAGCAACGGACTGTTCAAAAACCAAAAAAAAAACAAATCCAAATAATCAGGGACCGGAACAAAAAATGATGAAGAACATATAAATAAACGGGCCGTAGAAACTGTCTTCCGCGTTTCCGTGAATATGAGGGATGAAGAACAGGAATGCACTAGACATGGTCAAAACCTGAAATACCTGATCTCTAAATATGCTTCAAAACAAATTTTTGGCTCACGCAGCCAGGACAAAGATGACAACTAGGTTATGCAGGCTCTAAAAAAACAAGAGCAAGCTCTAGAAAAAAAGATACCTGTTGGTGGCGAAAAAAAAAGATACCTGTTCAAATATATCGGTTTTTGAAAATCCCGTCAGTTCAAGTAATAAAATCCACAGGCAGTAAAACATCGAAAAAAATTTTCAAACATATATGGACACACATAGTATAGCAGAATCAGAAAAAAAACAGAGCAGTTTTCAGGGTTCAAACTAAAGAGCATGAAAACTTTTTGCTCGAAAAACATTTTTCAACAGTTAATTTGTCGTATTGGAGACTATAAGGATGTGGTCTGGTCGAGCGCGCGATACAATTAATCAAAATAAGACTAGGGATAATGCTTTTGGACGAAAAATCAAAATCAATTAAAAAGGGCTCAGTTTTGATAACTCGGGATTAAGGATGGAGCAAACAGAAAAAGATCAATAAAACTCCAGTGAAGCAGACTAGCAAGAGTTTGATATTGGAAGAGGTCAGTTTTTGACCATGTCGAATTTTAGCAAAAGAGCAATTGAAAAAGTCAGATCGACGATTTTTGCAGTTGAAGAGATGGGGATCGACCAGGGCAAAGAGAACGTCAAGATTGTGAGAACAAGACAAATCAGCCGAGACGTAAACAGCAAACAACAGACAGGAAAAACCAGGAGCGACAAAACACATTGCAAATTTCTCGGAGGCCAATGCAGCATGGACGAAGATCCAAAAAAGCACGATTATAAACGACGTAAAACAAAGTATGGATGCAAAAATGAATGCAAACCCGGAACTGAATGGTACTTGACTTCTCGGAAAAGTATGAAATTGTGGAATTGAAGGAGAAAATACGTTTGAAGAAGGGCAAAGTAGACAAACTAGATCGAAAATCAGTGGTAGGCAGGAAGAATCCAAACCGTCAATTCGAAAAACCATTTACGCTTACAAAAGCATTTCGTCCCGTACAACAAAAAACAGCGTCAACAGTCACCACAGCAATGGGAACGGTGTACCGGAAATCAAGCCTGGCGATTGCGAGAGGTAAATTTAGAAGAACAAGAGAAAAAAACAAGCCGGAGGCTATGAAGAGTGCACCAACGCAACAAGCAAATATAATATTAAGAAGGGACACGCCAATGGAAACAACTTCATCGGATTCAGAATCAAGTGACGAGATCAACGAAGTTTTTTCAAAAAATGCAGTCATAAAAAATTTCCAGGAAAGCACAGTAGTACAAACTTTGAACGATAGAGATGCAGAAGGCGGAATCAATCTGTGAGAAATGAGGGCAAGGCCGAGTAAGGGAGAAACAAACCCCAGACCAAAAACTAAGGAGGAAGTAACAATCATATCTTCGGTACAGAAAAAGAAACTAAGAGTGCAGGAAACTAAACAAAACAAAGCTACGGCTACAAAACGCAACCGCATTGAGGCAAAACCGAGCACAGCATTGAAGATGAGTGCGCAGACCACATCAAAGCCAAAGAGCAACGAATAAAACGAAAGAAAAAATTTGACATCAGAAGAAGAACGAAGAGTTTGAAGAGGACAAAACAACACAAAATGACACATTAGAAATGACGTAACAAGTCCTACAAAGAGATATGGAGAAGAAAGTCGAGCGAAGTTGTTGAGAAACTAGTCTACAACCACTGTCATTGGACGAATTAGCAGAAACGTCACCAGATTGACCAACCACTGCAGAAGCAGTAAAACGACGGAATCAATCAGATGAAACATTAAGGTTATAGAAATATCAAAAGAAAATTGAGAAGCATGCAACCCGAAAAGCATAAACTTCGGTAGAATACGAATAGCCGATTAAACACTCGGCGAGGGTAGTACAGGAGCAATCTGACGAAACCGACGAAATTTCTGACGAGTTACAATGGGTATCATTGCAAGCATATCGAAGAATTTTAGCAAAACGCAACTAACTGAAGGATACAGCAGAACACCGATTGCACCAACTTGTAAGCTGTCTGTTTAAACGGATATACGGAGAAAAATCGTGAGCATTAGACAAAATCTGGAGTCCAGACTGGGTCACTGGACTGGAAATGAATTCCGAGTCAAAGAAAAAGAAAGATTGAAAATGAAAAGCCAGTGTTGAAGAGTAATGTTAAATGAAACACTTTCTGACCAGGTAAAACTGAGTTGAAAACAATATTATGTATATCATACACAAATTTGTAACAACTTTGTAACAATTTGTAACAAAGAAACAATTTTTTTCCCACCGAAAGGGGACAGCGGTACTGCAATGGCAGTAGCCAGAGAAGCTAGATTTGTTTTTGTTATTATATGACATAATGAAACTCAGTCAAGGTCAGCAAGATTCATTGACAAACGACTGCATCTCAAATTGAATGTGCGGTGATATTGATTTACAATCTCGTTTTTTTCATACTTGTTATAAAACTGGATTAAACTCGAAGTTACACTGGGTTAAATGGTCCAAACGGTTTTTTGCCGAAATTTTTCGGTTCACAAGGTTCGAAACCGCAAACCATAGTTTTCCTGTTCTTACGTTCTGAATCCGGACTACTTTGGTCCACGCGATCTGAATCCAGGTTTTTTTGGTCCCCACGTCTGAATATGAGTTCTGTCGGTCCACATGGTCTGACACCAGATTCATTCGGTCCACATGGTCTGAATCCAGATTTTTCGGTCCACACGGTCTGAACATACCACATTCTGGTCTCAACGGTCTGAACATGCTAAATTCTCGTCCAGACGGTCTGAAAATAAAACAACGATCTCGACCCGGGACGGAAGTCGTAATAATGTGAATTCGTAATAATGTGAAAACGATCAACAAGTTATTATTTCGAATCAGATGATATCACACTAGTTTTCAGCTGCTTTTGCAATCTACTTGATTGTTCATGTATATCTTTGGCTCAACATGACGTCAAGATACTTGCATTTTTCATCGTCGTATTTAGTTCCTGCATTCAATTTAACTGAAGATCCTATTTATGTTTTAGGGACCTGATTCACGAAGTATTGGGCCACGTGGTGATGTTCATGGACCCCCGACTGGCTGACTTCTCCCAGAAGATAGGACTAGCATCCCTGGGAGCATCGGACGAATTCGTAGTCAAATTGGCCACCGTGATACATTTAAATAACATCATCACAGCCAAGCTGTTAAGGCTGCTTCAAAGTTATAGCAATAACCAATATATGATGGATGACTTTTTTCAAATTAGTGTCGTTTTTTCCGCATGACGTGAGAAAAAGATCTAAGCTAAAAAAAAATTAGGCTTAGTAAAAAGGCCATTCGGAAGACAGTTTTTGAAGAAAATTGACTAGAAAAATTTATTGAGGTTTCAAGTTTTTGATTCACAAAAACTAAGTTGCTCGAGTAAAAATAAGTTTTCGAGGTTTAAAGTAAGCTTGAATAAGCTTTTGTAAGCCTACACGCTCACACCATATTTGTTCAAAATTAGAGCAAAAATCAAAAGTTTCGAACCAGTTTTTCTCGACACTGTTAAAATAATTTTGAAAATTTTTAATGTGGCTCGAATCCTGATTGAAAGGATTTTAATAGGATATATCACTCAACCCAGTCCGATGATTATTTGTGGTACCTAATTTTGCGTGCAAAACAAAAAGAAAAAACTTAATCACTCGAATACAAAGTTCCTCCCCTTTTTTCAAATGGTCGGAACAAAATACTATTGTTTGGTTCAGTAAATACTTATTATATCACATATTTTTTTGCAGTTGTATTGGTTCACAGTGGAGTTTGGGCTCGTGATGGAGGATGGAAAAGTGAAAGCATACGGAGCTGGACTTCTCTCATCCTACGGAGAGCTAGAGGTAGTTAAAAATACTATTAAGAAGGCGTTTTAAGCGAATTCCCTATAAAAAAAACTTGGTTTCAAGCACTCTCAATCCAAAATTTTTAAATTTTTTTGTCTGAGGTTATCGCGAATTTAGCTTCCCTTATATACTCGTTTTAAATCGAACAAACTAGAAGTCTGTTTCAGCATGCACTGTCAAGTGAGCCGGAACACAAGCCCTTTGAAACCGAGGCGGTGTCTGTGCAACCCTATGATGACTACAACTACCAGGCAGTCTACTTCATTGCACACAGCTTCGACCACATGCTGCACAATTTCGAGTTGGTCTAGAAATTTATATTTTTAATATCCAAGCTGATGCTACTGTTTTTGAATTTCTGTTGTTTACTACCGCATTTTTTGTAATTTTGAGGTTTGATCCAACTAATTATCCCTTAATATTTAGGTATTCTCAAAAATATACCTAATATACCAAAAATTAATATTTAAAAAGGTATTTTCAAAAATGCCCCGGAAAAATCAACAATAGTTTTCCAGAAAATGTAAAATCTGAGCTCATTTTTATGTTTGAAAGTTGTAGGGTCTTTTCCTAGAAGAAGACAAAACTATCAACCAATATGAGTAATTTAAATGGTTAAAGTCAAGCCAAAAACAGTTAGCCGCAAGAATGATCTCAGAAAAAACTGAAAAAATCATTAAAGAACTCGAGAAAAAAACTTGAACACAGAAGCAAAGCAGAGCTTCGCACTGATTGCGATACAACACAAAAACAAAAAGAAAACAAAACAAAAATTTGAAATAATGAAAAAACTAGGTAAAACAAAATTTTCTCGATAAAAACAACTAGGAGCAAAGCTTAAGCTTGAGGTACGTGTTTGATACTGCATAAATATTTATACTGATGCGGGAAGAAATGTGCGATTTAAAGATTGGAATTTGCCCACAACCTTAGTTAGTTCTAAAATAAAATTAGTGAGATGAGTGAAAAAGTTTAAAGACTAGTGAAAAGCATTTATCTTATAAGAAAAATAAAGCGTCGTCGTTTTTCAAGGAATAATTCTCGTTCATTTGATTGAATCCAAAATTTCAGATTTGGATGGGAGGATATTTCTCGAGAACAGTAAAAGATAAAAATTCAAAAAAACGGTCGAAAAATCATGACTTCTCCGAGGGCCTTTACTTTTGGTGTCAGAAAACTAGAACATAATTGCATAAACAAATGGGCTTCACACAACTCTATCTTCGAACTGAACCCAAAGTCTCAGATTAGAAAACTAAAAAAAGGTCAAAAATCAAAACTTTGAGATTTCTCTAGGACGATAAATTTTGTTGTAAAAACATTGTGATTGGCCTCTAATGCAGCGGAGCTCACCATTAACCGTTATCTCCATTGAACTAACAACTTTACATTTGGTAAATAAGTTTTCAGGAAAAGCTAAAATATTCAAAAAACTGTTTAAAAAAATCAATAATTTGACTCTTCCGAGGACCATAACCTTGTGTACAAAAAGTTTCAGCTGCGCCGCTTATGCAAGGAAGTTTTGCGAGTCCCTTCTAATCATTCAAACCATAACTTTGATTTGAGAGGGGAACGAGAGCTTTGTGTGTTTTTTTAAAATGATCCAAAATCAAGTCACTACGCTGATAAAAATAGGCCAAAATAATTTTGACTGAAGTTTATGAGCGGAAAAAAACAAAGATGGAAAGACAAAGTCAAGTCAAGTAAATTATAAATTCTAGGAACAATTGAAACACAAAAAGCATCATTCAAGAAATAAGCGCAGCAAAAAATGACTCCAAGATGTGACGACTAAGCCGAGTCCTGGTCAGATTCGAACTTAGGACCTTTGCCGTCCCAGGCGTATTCGTTGCCTCCAGGCTAAATAGGCCAGGAAACACTAAGAAATTTGAGTATACTATGAAACAAGGTACCACCAGAGATGAATCGAGAAGAGTCCTGTGAACTAGTTATTCAGAGAAAAAAGTCTTCCGGATTGCAAAACTCTTGCTCATCGCAAGGATGAATAAGCATGAATAGGCTATTGTTAGCCTGCTTGATCGCTTTATTCGCTCAAACTCAGGCTTTAACTTGAAAATTTGTTTTTCTTGATAATGGGACAACCCCTTAAAATAAAGTAGCTCCAAAAAATCAACAAGTACAGAAAATCTATTCACTGATTCTTTTAGGAACTATAGCTAGCGTCAGTTTCCTGCAAGGCATATAAAAAATTTTCACTTTTCATTGCGTGCGATTTTGTTCAGAAAAATACTAGCCATATAACATTAACTTCACAAGCTTGTTCGTATAAATGCCCAGCGGATCTGATTTGATTAATCGAAGAATCGAAACAAACACCATCCTGAAATGAGACGTTTGTTTTACTATCTCGCTTCTTATCAGTCTGAAAGCATAACAACTCCGCCCAAATTTTTAAGAAACCTCTGACCACCCACGAGATTTTTTTAGGCTGTAAAAATTGTAAAAATGCATAATTCTAAAAAAAATACTTCCACTTGGGACCGAGAGATTTCGAAAAAAAAAGTTTCAACAATATATCTGGACATGATTGAGTTGCATTACTTAGAGACAATTACTCAAAGGTTTTGGCAATATTTATAAAAACTTGCTTTTGCACCTATTGTAAATGGCAATCTACTTCCATCATATTTAATTAGTGGTTCCAAAACAGTTGCATACTTCGCTTTTCGTTTTTTCTTCCCCAAATTGGCAAAAAAAATCAATTTTTGTGGGCAAAAAACCAACGTTTGCTTTAGCTTGGCAGAGAATACTTATCGGATCTTGTTAACAACATCCACTCGCTTGTGGTACTTCGTTAAGAAACTGAATTAACAGTTAAGCATAACAAATTTTGTACCTTGACACGAATTCTCCGCCTCCCTCTCCTGCAAAAGGGGGAAATAGTTAACAAGATCACACCCTAATCAGATTCATTGATTTAATTGTTTTCGGAAAGTTTTGAAAATTTTATGTATGACTTACCTGTTTAGGAACTTCCTAGCATCGTCTGACAATTCTCATAGCTTGAAGACTCAGTGATCACACAACACGATCTGGCTGCTATGAACTAATAATTATATTCGTCCTGAATGCTACATTGCACTAATTTCTTTAGACCCAACGTCAGCTAACAAACTGTAAAAAAAATAGCAGAAAACTGAGAATAAATTATAATTTGACATGAATAAATAATTGCATCAATTTCATTTCGATAAAGACATTTAAGAGAGCTACAATTAAAAAAATTGACTGGTTATAATTGTACAAAACAGACTAAGAGTGTTTATTATCAACATACTTCATCCATACAGATAACAGACACAGTTTCGTATTCCTAATATTTCGTCGTTTCAATAGATGTTCGGCTGTTTGTCTCGACACTGCTGGTTACTCTGGCGACAACGGAGAGTCTGTTCCTGATGTGGGGGTGTTTGAACCAGCTGCTACTAGTGGTGGCGGGTTTGTGTGAAACAGCTGGTGGCACTCGTTGCAGACCCTAACTGGAGTGGGGTGACCGGGTAGACTGGCCTTTTTGGAAGAACAGTCATTGCAGAAGATTTTGCCACAGCATCTGCAGTGGTGCTGCAATATATACACGAGCTTAACACTTTTTCATAACAAATACAACAAAAACGGTTTAACAACTAATGAAAAATGCGAGCGTCAAGCTGCAATATTTGGCTAAACTTTTCAGTGTTCAACGACAATCAATCAATTAACATAGCCAACAGACAGCAGAAAAAGTCAATGAACGCAACTAAACAAAAACATAGCCAATCGAAGATCGCAAAAGAGTTATGAACGCAAGTAAACATAGAAAAAAAACACTGACTTTGTTGAAAAAATCTCAACTATCAAATTTCAAAGAAAAAATCAGATGCCCTTTAAGCTCATTGAATTTCTAGAACAATTTATGATTGGTGCTTTTTTGATAACATTAACCCAACTTGAGAAACCTGGATCATCAGGGAAAGTTTTTATTCCGCTGGAAATCTAAGAAATAAATTCCACTTTCGAAACTAGAAATCGTTCGTTTTTTTCGCGCCATTTGCACGTTCGTATTTGGAGAGTGCTATTTACGTCACTTCAGCAGATGAATTTCAATTGAGCTCAAAAAGTGCATTATAACTAAGTGCATCAATATTTTAAGACTTTTTCCTGAAAAAAAAACATAAAAATCAGCAAGACTTATATAAGTCTTCACTACGTTCATTACTCTTAAAAAAATACTGACTTAATTTTTGAAAAAATCAAAAATTCGAAAACTTTTGACTTCGATGACAAAAATAGATGCCTTTAAACCTCTAAGAATTTTTAGAACAATTTATTATTGGCACTTTTTCGATAAAATTAACACAATTAGAGAAAACTGGATCAGTAGGTTAACTTTTTATTTCGCTCGGAAATCTGAAAATTAAATTCCATTTTCGAAACTAGAAGTCAAACACGTTCTTCTTGGCCTTTAGGTTTCCACTGTTCGATAGTGAACTTTGCTTTCCTTTTCACAAAGGAAATGAACTGAACTTGAAAAGAAATCAAAAGCCAAACCGCGAAAAAGTCAATTTGAGCCTGAAGACTTTTCCTGAAAAAAATCATCGCGACTTTGATAAGATTCTTAACTACGTTCATCGTCTGTCTCTTAATCACTCAAATCTCAAGCATTACTTTAAACACCTTCAAAAACATTTAAAACGGCTATCTTTTTCATCAATGTATTCAAATACTTTTGGATATTTTTCTATTTCCTCAAAAACCTAATGTTTATTCAGTTAGCTATATCGAAAAAACAGTTTATTAAATCCGCTGAAAAGTAAACTTAATCTTAAATCTATGACTCGATTATCCTAGCTACCTTGCGTATAGTAGCAGAGAAGTCTTTTGAGCATCCGATACACTGGTCCACGTGGTCATCTGGGAGCCAGTTTCTCTCTAGCCACCTGCTCTTCTCTACCTGCAGCGACTGTTGCTCCCTCCCCAGTTCAAACATCACCCTCTGAGCCCCTTCCAGATTGGCCCTGATCTCCACGTACTGGTTGCGCAATTTACCAAACTCCTGATTGCGAGTGTCCAGTCTAATAATTATAAATAATGGGTTTAAATAGCATCACACCTTGGACTTAAATCTAAAAAACGTTTTCATGTCCAATACCATCTTTTTGATGACTCAATCTGAGAACAAGTATTCATAAAAATAAACTTTTACTTACTGTTCTTTTAAGCTGTTGGCTGATTGTTTGAGTGCAATGACCTCATTCGACTTCTCGAAGAGTTCCTTCTCCAGTTTTGCTGTTTGGGACTCAAAATTGCTGACTTCGTCTTCTTTGATGTTCAAATCATTCCGCAGCATCGCTGAAATGAATTCTTGTTCAACATAGAGGCTTCACAAACACAAGCGAAGAAAATGCAAAAAAAAGAGCACTAAACAGGGAAAACATATTGAACTGAGGAAAAGATTGAAAACACACCTTGAAAAAAAATTGTTGAGATTAGGCGTATCACACTCTCACATCTGCTCCACAACCGCTTGCAAAATCACAAACACTAGCCGCCAATAAAGAAGCTATAAATTCTATCAAATTGCCAATTTTATGCAGCAAAAATTCGATCAAAAAATAAAAATATAAAATGTTCCGGATTTGAACATCCGACCGGTTGATTAAGAGTATCATGTCCTCGCATCTGTGTCACGGTCGCTTTGAGGTAAACTAATGGCCCAGCTAATGCTGGATCTACCTGTTCTTATTTTTTAAATCATATTGTGTAATGATACGGAAACGCGTAAGTTTGAAAACTTCAAAAAAATGGACTTAACGCTAAAACATAGAGTTTCTCTGCTCAAGTAGGTGATTAACCGCTTATTTAAAGGAGAAAACTACTACTCGCTCTTTCAAATGAAGTCTTTATCTTAGATTTGACTGTGTAGTTTTCGACAAAAAAGTGAAAACGATTCCACAATTCGACTTTTGCTCAGCCCTTAAACTATTCTCTACTGCAGCATGGGAATGACCTCTGCTTTCCAAACCCTAATTTTTATTTTAGATTTATTTTATTTTGACTGTGTAGTTTTCGACAAAAAAATGAAAACGATTCCACAATTCGACTTTTGCTCAGCCCTTAAACTATTCTCTACTGCAGCATGGGAATGACCTCTGCTTTCCAAACCCTAATTTTTATTTTAGATTGAAGATCTCCGCACCCTTATTTTTTTAGATTGAACCCGTAAAATCAGATTTAGCTAGTAGTTTTCGAGATTATCGGCGAAATTTCTTAAGAAAACGGTTAATTTTTAGAAGGAATTTTTCCGAAGCCAATATCAGCTTTTCTACAAAAAAACAAGATAAAAAAGATAGCACATGGAATATTGAAGCACCATGCTAGTTTTAATGAACTATCAACCTGATAATCAGCAGTTTATCTTTTGAAAAAAAAACAGTTTCCAAAAAACGCGCAAATTTTCGAAAATTGGACATTTTCCATTTTCTAAAGCCATTTTCAAACGTAGTGCAGAGGTACTTGTGCAGGTAGATTCACATAACTGATTTTTTCTTTCGTTCAAACCCTTAATCTCCAATTTGCGAAAAAAATTAAAAGCTTTAAAAATCGTTGTTTCATCATTGAAACTTTTATCTCAGATTTGTGCATTTAATATTTGGAAAAATGAAAAAATTTGAAATCAAATAGGCCAAAAATCACCCTATTGAGACTTTCGAAGGCCTTAGAACGTGAGGTAAAATGAAAAGAGACTAGTAAAAAATACAATCACATAGAATAGAAGCCGGGTTTTCCATTGGTATCATAATTTTTTGAAAATTGGAACAGTAGTTTTTGAGAAAAATTGAAAATTCTGCGAAAAGTACAAAAAGAATTCCAAAGCGTCGCAAAAAATCCGAAAAACAACAGACCCCATACATTTTCATAATTCATGTTTTTTTCAAACAGCACCTAGCACAAGCCACAATTGAAACAGCAATATATGCTCTCAACTTGTTTATGCTTAAATAAGTTCAAATATGATTAAATTGAAATATACCAAAATGCCACAAAAAGAGCAGTTTTATATGCGACTTAGGCTAGAAAACAAATTCTTCGTAATAATACACTACGCTTCGTTTGTGTAAGAAAACGGGTTCTTTTGGTGCATTCGTCCAGTATTGATATCGCGTTTCGGTGCATTCGTCCATTCACATATCGAGATTCACATATCACATTTTTAATTAGAAAATTTTTTTAATCATCACAGCAAGAACACGACAAAAACATTAGCGAGAACACGACAAAAAGGAGCTCTAAATAGCGCAATAAAAAAATTAGATATGAGCCTCGAATTAGAAAACAATTAGCGAGAACACGACAAAAAGGAGCTCTTAACAGTGCAATAAGAAAAATTAGATATGAGCCTCGAATAAGAAAAATTCGTCCACGTCTGAAATTCCAACCTGCACCTAGAGATTAAGAGTCTCACACACTTACCGCGAAAGCTTAATAGGTACCAACCACAAGCCACAAAAAAAGGAGAACAGATGCTAAGCAGTTTCCAATACTACAGTGAAATTTTCAAATAAGTGAACACTTTTAATGAACACTTTTATTTGCGAGTTAAGTTAAAAAAATAAGGTCGGTAAGATTACATTAAGCTGAATGCTAGTGTATTAAGTGCGGAGAGAGCATTTTACAGCCCTTTACAAGCAATTAATAGTCTCTTTCTAGCGTCTCTCTATCTCTCTCTCTCTCTCAGTCTTTTACCTAGGTTCTGGTTGAGTCTGGACATCTGTTCCTCCGAGGTAGCCTCACTCTCCGCCAACTCCTCCCGTACTGCACTGATGTTGCATCTCAGCGTCTCCTAGAAACCATTAATGAAAAGAATATAAGATGGCCAACAGATAAATACAACAGATTCAAAACGAAACTAAACCAGGATTTTAAAAAAAAAATTGATTTTTTCAACTCCTGAAACACAAAAAAAAGATAAATTTTACATTGAAAATTTCTCAGCATTCGAAATATATCACGTTGAAGCTCTTGGAATTTCAAGAATCATTCGTAAACTCCACTTTTTCATTGAAATCTTTTTCATTGAAATAACCCATTCAGAAAAACCTGGATCAGTTGATAATTTTTTCCTAGTGCTGGTAATTTAAAAATACTCAGTCCATTTTGGAAGTCAGAAGTTTCGCGCCATTTGAACTTTTGTTACTCGAGAAAGTAATTTTCTTGCTTTTTTGCAAATAGATTTGAATTGGACTAAAAAAAATCAAGTCAAACCGCGAAACTCAAAAAAAATAAATAAAGTGAACTATTTTTTTATTATTTTCCGGACACAAAGGCAACACGACCTGCTTATGATTCTGCAGTGCATTCATTGATATTTTAACAAAAGTTAAACACCTAAGCTAAACAAAGACGAGGATATCCGGTTACTGTGCAAGTAGCACAGATGTTCCGACCATCTTAAAACGACACGCGTGGTGTGAGAAAAGGATCTGAATAAAAAACAACTAATTACCCGGGTTGACCAAAACTTCTTATCATACAATTTCCATATATGAGAAACTTCTTGTCATACAATTTCATACAATTCCATACGTACAGAAAATTGTATGAAAACTCTATGATAAGCATTTTTCCATATATGAAAATTGTATGATAGGTGTTTTCCCATAAACCAAAAATTTTGATTTTTTCTTTCTAAATTTAGTTTCCGAAAAATCTTCGGTTGTATAAGCATTTTCGGTGTATGGAGGTCAACCCGGGTAGGTTTATTCGACAGAAACAGTAAAATAGGCAAAAAAGACAACAGTTTTTGAGATCAGATGACTAGAAAAACAAAAATGAATCATAACAAAAGAACAAAATATTCAAAATTGTTTTCAATTTTTTGAATTTTTGATTCCCAAAACGGCGTTAAAAACTCGAGTACAACTAAAATTAAGCACAAACAAGCTATTGTACAGCGGTGAATTTAGGCATAAATAAGCATGCTCGCTCGCTTAACGAAAAATCAAAAACTTCAAATTTGAAATGGTTTCAAATGTCGTTTGAATCCCCAATGAAAAGGATTTAAAATGGTATCATTCCACCCATTCCGTCATTATTTGTGCTACCTGATTTTGCGTGGAAAGCAATAAGAAAAAGTAAAAAGAAAAAACTAAAACACCCGAATACAAAGTTCCTCCCCATTTTCAATGGTCAAACAAAAAAAAGACCCAAATAAACGAAAATTCATTTCCTCTACACAAGCAAAGCCCAGCTTCACACCACTGCGATAGAACACACGCATAGCTTTCCTAACTAGCAGACCGAAATTGAAACGAAAGCCGCAAAGTCAACCAAAAAGTTTTGAAACTGTCGAAAAAAGCTAGATCTACGAATTTTTTATCTACCGAATCTTGAATGAAGTTCTTTTGGAACTTGAAAGAAGTTCTTTCTGTAAGGAAAATTGACACCTGTTTAGCAAAGAAAAATTCACATAAAAAACTTCAAAACTTAAATATAATTACACCCTCAAAAGTCTCACACGCATAGAAACCTTGTTAAAATCATGGAAGGATGCAATGATGCCGTTAGGCCGATTAAAATAAACCGAAAAAAGTAAAGCCGAGTAAACAAAAAAAGCAGATACATAGCCAACAGACAAGTGGAAAAGAGTCAATGAACCCAAGTAAACAGAAAAAAAAACTGACTTCAATTTAGAAAAAACCACAACTTTCAAATTTCCAATAGAGAATAGATGGCCTGAAAGCTTTTCAAATTTCTTGAACAATTATGATTATATTTGATTAAATAAACCCAATTTGAGAAAACTGGATCAAAAAGTAAATTTTTCTAATCCGCAGGGCAATCTGAAAAAAAAAATTATCATTTTCGGATCTAGAAGTCGATCACGTTTTTCGTGACTTTAACACTTTGGCTGTTCGAAAGTAGAGTTTGCCTTCCTTTTAATAAAAGAAATGAACGTACACAGAAATCCTAAGTCAAACCGCAAAAACGTTAAGATTTTTCAATAAAAGAAAAAAATCATCGCGACCAATATAGGAATCTGAAGTACGTTCATCGACTCTTAATAACAAAAAAAAACTAAATTATACCGATCCAGAGTTGGTAAATTTAAAGTGAAAAAAATATAGAATTGAACGGTTACTTGAAATGCAAATATGCTCAATCAAAATGTCTGTTGGTTGGCGAAAGCGCATATTCGAGCTAATGATAGGCAATTCTGTTGAACAAGTTGTTCATAAGAATCAGTCTTTATTCCGAGTTAATAACTCTTTTCAACCCGCAGCATAAAAATTTGAGTGCACATTAAGAAACGGAACAAAAAAAAACTGAAAAAACGCAAAAAATGTAGTATTTCAATTATCTCAACGAATGTGGCTTTGAAAATATCATTCAGGAATTTAAAAGGAAGTTGAACCTTCAAAAGCAATTAGTGCTACGCGAACAAAGCCCAGGAAAATAAACAGAAAGACAATAGTCCAAAAAAGTATAAACTTTTTTAAATAAAAAACCACGGCCCGGCCAGATTAAACCACATAACGTTGTCGTCTAAAGCAGGCATGTAACCTCTACGCCAGATGCTCTGGGTGAATAATTGAGTTTGAATTTTTATAAAGCAAGATGATTTTGGTCTCATATAAAAGCTCTCTCAGTCGTATTTTGTATATCAAAACAATATTTCTAGAAACACTGGTCTGACATTTTCCGTATTTCTGACATTTCACCTCCTACGGACAATGAGAACCACTTGATTTGATAACACCACTGCTTACCTCGAAAATTACAAATTTATTTTGAAGACATTTGAAAAAGTGTCAATGAACTCGGGAGACCGAAATGATAAAAATAGCAAGCAGAAGTTTAAATAACCAGGAAACCAAAAAAATGATGGAAAATGTTTGAAATTTCGAATTGCGGAGAAAAAACTCATTCTAAAGCTTTTTTATTTTTTCTTTTAAATAACTTACCAAAACTGGATCAATCGGTCACGTTTTTTCGCGCCATCCATCTCTGCTTTCGTAATAAAAGAGCTCAATTTGCCTACTTTTCAACAATTGAACTTGAATTCCACTCAATATATGCAAATATATCTAAGTGCTTTTTTAAATGCATCAATATGTATGACTTCAGTAATTATAAGAACATTTTAAAATTTTTCTTACAAACGAAATTATCACGACCTATTGAAGAGTCTTCACTGCGTTCATCGAAACTAAAGAAGCAATTCATTCTTTTACACTTAATAAAATTTTCTTCTAATAATAACTTGAAGCTATATGTAATTTAAGAATATTTTACTTGGACAGTTTTTTGATAGAGTAACCCGAGTAGAGAAAACTGGATCCAAAAGAAACTTTTTATTCCGCTAAAAAATCTCAAATAAAAGTTCTGCTTTTAAAACTAACAACTGATCACGTAATTCGTGCCTTTAGCGCTGTCGCAATTGGATAGCTTAATTTACCTTCCTTTTATCAAATGAACTTGAACTGAAAAACAAAAGACTGATGTCAAACCACGTAAAATCAAATGTGAGCGTGAACAACTAGATTTTTTCCAGTGAAGCAGAAAAAAAAGCCAACAGGCAGTTGGAAAAAATTCACGAACAAAAAAACTGAATTGCTTTTTGAAAAACCTCAACTTTTCAATTTCGAAGAAAAAATAGATGACCTTATAGCTAATTGAATTTCTCGAAATACGTATTAGTGACACTTTTATGACACAGAGGCAAAGCTTTGCTTTGCAAACACTAGCAAAAACTTGACAAAAAAGCAGCTTTAGAGAAGAAATAAGAAAAGAAGCCTAGAATTAGTAAAACTTTGCTACAAATGGGCTCCAAGCCTGTGAACTCAAGAATTGCAGTCTCACACCCAGTCCTCTCTGCAACGAACTCTTACCGGCAAACACAAAAGTGGCACCAAACACAAATAGAAGACATCAACGCTAATTTTACATGTAACAAATTGGAAAGCATAAAGCCACATTATGTACACTTATTATTATTCGAATGTCAAAGCACATGCTATCAAAAAGTCGTAAAGGAGCCCCAGAAGGTGCTCTAATACTTGCGACTTAGGTTAAAAAAAAGAATAGTCGTAGTATAACACTAACGCTCCTAAAATACGCTAGCGTGATAAAAATTAACCCAGTTTGAGAAAACTGGATCAATAGATAAATTTTTTTATTCCGAAAATTATTCTGAAAATTAAATTCCTTTGCTGTTTTTTATTCTGAAAATTAAATTCCTTTGCTGTTCGATAGTGGAGTTTGCCTACCTTTAAACAAAAAATGAACAGAATCTAAAAAGAAATCACCCTAAGTCAAACTGCGACTCGGAGAAAATGTTTATTTATATTTATATATATATACTAGCATGTAACGCACCTCCGGTGCTTCGAATTTTTAACAACTCATCAAAGCCGCATATATTAGAAACATGATCTGCATCTTTTGAGTATATACTGACAGCACATAAATACAGGGTTCGTTATTACAAAATTTGCAAAGTTTTTTATTACAAATTTTGAAAAATCATAAAATTTTGTGAAGTTTTATATATGTTCTTTGAAAAAATTCAAAATTAACTAAGAAACGTCACATCTTAGAATTTGAAAGCAATTGAGCAGTCGCATTTGGATGCAAGATTTGCAACTCCTGAGAGTTCTCTTACAGTACCCAACTACAACGCTGGGAAAATCACATTTTGAGAAACTTCAAACTTAACTTTTCTAAAAAAAAAAGATATTATATGAAAACCAGAAAAAACGTCACACCTCAAAAACTACCAAGATTTGAGCAGTCTTATTTGAAGGCAATATACGCAATTCTTGACAGTACTCTGACAACACTCAACTAGAGGATTGGGAATCTCAATTTTGTGAATTATTTTGTAATTTGAGTTTTCAGAAATAATCACAAAAATCGTCCTATCTCATAAAGTGGAAAGCCTGAGCATTCTTAATTGGCAGCCAATTGATCGCCCCTGAGAATAATCTGACAGCCCCCAACTACAGATTAAGAATTTTAGATTTTGAATAAAGAGATAAGTTTTCGGAGTTCTGGAAAACTAAAAGGTTTCGAGCTGTCATATTTGGAGGCAAAATATCCTGAGAGTACCCTGAGAGAGCCTCACTATAGAGATGGGAACTTCAGATTTTGTGAAATTTTTTATATCTAAGTTGTCGGAAAATTTTTTCTATATCTAAGTTATCCAAAAAATCCTAAAAATGTCATATCTCGAAAACTACAAAGATTTGAGCAGTCATATTCAGAGACAAGATTCACAACCCTGAGAGTACCTTCACAGTTTCCAAAAACAGGATTGAGGTCTTCGCAAAGTTTTGAAATTTTTTTAAAATCTAAGTTTTTTTGAAAATTTTCGAAAAAATCATAAAAAACGTCATATCTCGAAAATTACAAGGATTTGTGAAATGAGGTTTGGAGGCAAGATGCGCAACCCCTGATAGTATTCTGGCAGCACCCAACTACAGTTTGAGAATTTCAAAAACTGAGAAATTTTTTAAAATTAAATTTTCTTGAAATTTTTGAAAAATCTCGAAAATTACCGTACCTCGTAAACTAAAAGGATTTAGTTGTTCATATTAAAAAAACCTTGACCATTGCAATATACGATATAGCTTAAACGTGCAAAAATTCTTTTTGTTAAACATGCAAAACTAATACGCTGAAAAAGCTTAAAGATGGCGAGATAGTGAAGCCCGCATTTAAATATATAATACATATATATTGACAGCCCCAGTGACTGTTGGGTTATTGCACAGCAACCCTGTTATATTTAGTTTTTAATGAACTATGCCCAATATGAGCAATCGATATTTTTGAAATCTTGAAACTGGTAGGATATAGTGATTTTGCCTGCAGGAATATAATCTGAGTTACTCTTACAATTTGAGTGGTGAGCGCGTTCTTCTGATCCTCCATCTCCTTCTCCAACTGACTCTTTTCATGTTGGGTCTGGAATAGACTCTTTTCACATGCATCTAACTGGTTAGCACTCTCCTCTAACTCACTCTTAAGTCGGTCACGCTCCTAGAATTAAATTAAATTTAATCATCAGAAACCGCAAAAAAAAAACAGGTTTGATACTGCCAGTCCATAAGCATTATTTAAAAACAACTGAACTAAATGAACCGAAAAACACCCGAACTAGATAAGATCATTCACAATTATCATTAAAACTTAATAGTTGGGTATGTTCATAACCTTATAAGTCTAGAACCACCGAATTCACGTGGTGAGCCTTATCAAAAATCGACGGTCAGAAGCGGCTTTTGAAAATGCTCAACTACTATACAGTTAGTGTTGCTCATAATAAACTACCTGTTCTTTTTCGCTCATGTTAGATCTAACTTCTTCCAGCTGTGTCTTGAGAGCATTGATCTCATTGGTTAACTGTTCGTTCTTCTCAGGCAGGAACTTCATCGATACTATGTCATTGCGCAGTTTCTCTCTCTCCTGAAATCGAAAAATTGAACCTGTTTATTATTACCCCTGAAATTACGCGTGATGCGATGAGAGGAGAAACGAAAGCTTAGAACTCATAAATTAAACGCACAGAGGCGAAACAGAGCTGCGCACCACTTGCGATACAAAAATGAGTGATTATCACTACTTGCAGATGAAGCGAACAAAAATCGAAACATAGCCAACAGGCAGTTGGAAAAGAGCAATGAACACAAGGAAACATAAAATGACTTTCGAATTTTAAAGAAAAAAATATGCCCTTAAAGTTCTTTAAATTTCACGAACAGTTTATGATTGGTTCTTTTTGATTAAATTAATCCAATTTGAGAGAACTTGATCAATAGTGAAATTTTTCTTTCGCTGGGAAATCTAATAATTAAATTCCATTTTCGAAACTAAAAGTTAATCACATTTTCGTGACCTTTAAAATTTTTGCTGTTCGATAGTGGAGTTGTCCTCCTTTTAACAAAGGAAAAGAAGTGAACTTGCAAAGAAGTCAAAATTCACACGGCAAAAAATCAAAATTGAGCGAGAACAAATTTTTGCTGAAACAAAAAATAGATGGCCTTAAAGCTCTTTGAAATTAGGTTGGACACTTTTTTTGTTAAAATTAACCCAATTTGAGCAAACTGGATCAATAGGTAAAACTTTATTTCACTGAGATATCTGATAATTGATTTCCATTTTCGAAATTAGAAGTCAATCACGTTTTTCGCGACCTTTACATTTTTGCGGTTCGATAGTGGATTTTGCCTGCCTTTTAACAATGAAAATGCATTGAACTTAAAAAGAAATCACAAGCCAAACCGAGAAAAATCAGCGTGAACAAAAATCAAGTTGAGCGTGAACAAATTTTAAGACTTTTTCCTGAAAAAAAAATCAGCTCGACCTATATAAGAGTACTCACTAGGTTCATTACACTTAAATAAAAACCAACAAACTATAAAAATTGCAACAAAATCTAAAATCTTGGAGGCGAATTACCTGCACCTTAACAAATTCCACAAACACAGGCGAAGTGAGTTTCAGTGGCCGGAACAATAACAAAAAATGTCGAACCACCATCAAATTGTACCTTATCGGCTGTTTCGAGGGACAGTTTGACTTCGCTTAGGCTGTTTGTGAGTTGGTCCACTTCGTTTTTCTTGGAGTTGAGCTCGTTGCTCAGAGACATGTTCATTGCATCACTGCGGCCATTGAGAGCATTTTGCTCACGTGCAGCTGCCTCCAACGAAGAAATCTGATTCTAAAAAAAGACATTCATCCAATTGATTATGCTGCTTTTGAACGAAAACTTTTGTTTTAAAGATCAACTACAATCACGATTGACAGCCTTGACGGCAGTCTTCATCGACATCAGAAATGGTCAAAAACAACAGTTTGTTCAACTAAATCTGAGAAACAATCAATTCTTCAAACAATCAATAAAAACTTATTTGTGTTCAAAGCTATTTCACCACAATCAATTCTTCAAACAATCAATAAAAACTTATTTGTGTTCAAAGCTATTTCACCAGAATAAGAACCATTTCACCAGAATAAGAACCATTGTGAAATGAGGTTTGGAGGCAAGATGCGCAACCCCTGATAGTATTCTGGCAGCACCCAACTACAGTTTGAGAATTTCAAAAACTGAGAAATTTTTTAAAATTAAATTTTCTTGAAATTTTTGAAAAATCTCGAAAATTACCGTACCTCGTAAACTAAAAGGATTTAGTTGTTCATATTAAAAAAACCTTGACCATTCTATGAAATCCAATAACAAATTACGCCAATACAAAATGTCGATAAATTATTGACTGTTCGTGGAACCCAATGACAAGCGATAAACCCGCAATGAACGGCTAACTGACCTGTAGAGTTGAGATGTCGTTGGCGTGTTTTCTGTGTTCCTTTTTCATCTGCACCTCATACTCCTGACACATGTCACATGGCTTGGCCGCCTTCGCCTGTAACTGTTCCACCTGCTGCTGCAGAGCCACTACTGTCGAGTCAGAGAAGCTGCGCATCGCACTAATCTGCTGAGTCTACGCAACATACACACATTTGAAAAAAAAATCATTATCGAAAAGCTGTAAAACGCAACATACATTTGTCGAAAGTTGCACAGTTAATAAGTTTATTTTATAACACACTCGGCCTTGTTTCAAGTACAGATCACAGATTACTACACTGCAGTAATCGAATTGGTCAATTAAAACCTAAAAGAGAGCCATTATACGATGGATGAAGTCCGATTATGATCAAACTTGAGGACATCGAAAGAAAAACAAGGATTAAAAGCGACAAATTGCTCAGCACAATGTCTGCTACAATTTAACGCTTTCTTATTTTAATGTGGCGACAGCAATGAGAATGATTACCAATTGCGCGATGCATTGTTCATTTTGATGACATTTCTGACACTGCATTTGTTCAGGCTGGTATGATGCAACTTGTCCTTGTATCTGCTCTCGAGTAATCTCGTTACTCTGGGATACCTTGTGATTTGCATCGGGATAATTTTGAGGCGGCATCAGTGCTGTGTCTGGATGAAAATTGGAAGCAGTGTGATTGTCTTGGTGTGCTAGCTCCTCAACTGAAGAATCGTGCGAAGAGATAGATTGATTGTTGTAGCTCATCTCATATGCAGCTAGTTTTGCCTCCAAAGTGGAACTGAAGCAATTTTCACATAAGTATCATCATTCTTTTTTACGCAAGTTTTATCTCTTGAAAATACCGGGAAGCTCTTGTTGATAATTACAAAGAAGATAAAAACAAGTACAAGCGTGTAAAATTGTGCAAATTAGAAACTAGTTAAAGCTATCAAAATAAGTGTCATAACCATTTATTTGAATTCTCCTTCATTTCCCAAAACTAAATTGATCAAACTTACACTGCTTCAGCCTTGTCTCTGCACAGAATTGATAGCTCCTTGTTCTCCTCCTGAGAAGAGTGCAGCTTATCAACAAGGTCATTGAGCTCTTTCTCGTGTTCGCCGGTCATGCTAGTAACCAACTGTTGCAGTGAACTCAGTTCATTCCTGATGGCCATATGATCGTCATTCTTCTCTTCGTAGGCGAGAATATCCTGCTCCAGTTTTGCAATGTACTTCATTTTTCTCTCTAGGATGTCATCTTTGGTTTTCAGCTGGTGCTTTAATGCATCGACCATGCCACGCTGTTCGTCACATTCTGATTTCCATCTAGCAATTTCTTGGTGCTAAAACGTTAACATTTTTATTTCTAGATCTAATTGCCCCCACCACGAAGTGGGCCTAAATTTTTCATTCGGTTAGTTATCATGTTTATACTTTTACTTCCCACACAAACCTAGATACCACAACATACTTCAGATGGCTCGAGTGATATATCAAATTAAAACCTTTGATAAGAAGTTATTGAATTGATTTTTTTCAAAATTAAAATTTTCGAAGTAGAGAAAATAGTTTGGAAAATTTCGGTTTTTAGTTTAATTTAGAGCAAGTGAATGTCTACGATTAAAGTGCCTTTTCTACGCACATCTAGATACAACCAATAAATGTCAGATGGAGTTAAGTAATATATCTACTCCAGTTCGCCTGTAAAATATTAATTGTTCCATTGAGTGCTAACCTTACCTTTTCAAAAATGACAACAGATTACCATAACAGCACTGAATTTAAAACTAAGACACTGGCTCTTTAAACTTACCAAGTAGGCAGTGTCGTACATGGCTTTTCGCGATATCGAATGCTGTTGGTCGCTACTCGGACTTGAATGGGGAACTGAGAAGGCAGAGCCAGGATTGCTCTTAAATCCTCCATGAACTCCGTTGCTGTCCTCCTGGAAGTGTCTGGATGTCTGGCTTCCTGTATACATGTGCCCATTAGACATGGAATTGGCAGTTGAGAAGGAGCTACTGCTGTGGTTCGACTGCGTTGATCCTCTTCTCTCTACTGCGAAGGGTTTTGTATCTTCAGAGGGCATGTGTTCCTAAACAGGTTTAAACTTAAAGATGAAGAACAATTCTTATCAGTCGCGCTGCTGTTAACAACCGTTGTGAAACATATAAAAAAAATTAAGAATTTCAAAAACTAAATTTATCACCAGACGAAAAATAAAGACAAATTTTATAGCCTGACAACCTGTCTTAAAAGTATTCTTGATATGCGACTTTGATAGTTGCTTCGGCTCACCATTTTCAAGCTATTCATATAGTTTAACTCGATGTTCGGCATGTCGTAACAGTTAAACTCCATTTCAGATCTACTGCAAGGCTGTTTACAAGGCGACATAGACAAACTTTCCTTGTAATCTAGTTGCCCAGGCTGCATTTGCTGTGCTGCCAGTGTTTTCATGTTATAAATTTTATCTCTAACGCCGTCGATATTACGATTCCCTTCTTCTTTGGGTTTGGCTTTTTGCATGATTGCTGAATGGGGTCTTTTAGCTCTATATGGAAACAAAGATTTAGGCGATTGCGGCTTCTGGTAGCTCTTGATGCAGTTTACAGGCCTGCTGATGTATCGAAGAGATATTGCACTCCATAGCTTAGTGCTATCCCAACCGGCTTCATATGCGACATCTCGCATCAAACCATGGAGCGAGTTCTTCCCAACTGGTTGGTTTGCATACCATTTTCCATCAACCATCCTCTCTATAGGCCTGCAGTAGAAACTAGTTGCTTTTGAAGGTATCTTGCTCAAGTACATTTTGATCAATCTTACTGGACAATTTCGGCCTCCTTGTGGGTAGATCTCACTAGAAACAGTTCCGAATTTAGCAGTATCCTGAAAAACGATTTTTTCCAGGGGTGGTTTTCCCGTTACTTTAATCTGAGCAGATGGGCCCAGTCTCAACTCTCTATGTTGTTGCCTGGAACGAAGTCCGAAATACTTAGTATTTATGAAATACACTGTATGCAATAGGGTTCTAGAATCTTTATCCCCTAGAACTCCGGTTCGATAAAGATAGGCCTCCATTTCTTCACTTATCACCTCTGCCTTTCTAGCTATCAACTGCTCTCCTCTTTCCATCATTTCGTCTATTTTCTTGTTCAGATATCTTCGGGTACTGGAGAACTCATCGTCTTCCAGGACGCTGAACTCAAGTCGTAGGTCTTTAATGATCATTTGAATCAAATGCAACATGAAATTCAGCGTCTTCACTGGATATTCAGCACCAGTTTCAAGCTTTCTGACATCTAGAAAGAACTGGGGCAGCAATTGCACAAACAGCTGCTTGTTGTTTGTTAGTAGAACTCTCAAGTCGGATGCTTCTGCAGCTTCCTTGGCATCTCTTGTACGAGCCCACCGGGTCCAGATGTTTGCAAGCCATCCAACATTCCTCAAGGAACTTTCACTGAGATATGAATTAAAGTCTCCTTCAGTAACCAATTCCTCCAAGTCTCCCTCGACATCATTATCGGAGTACTCACAATCCATTTATGACAATTTGAACCAATATTAGGCAATTGTTATCAAGCGCCCGAGGTGAAACAAGCTAATTGGATGCTATAATCGATCGAAAGTGGAACGATAAGTGAAATTTTGATCACGGAAGTCGACATAGCCCGCTTGTTTTGGAGTCACTGATCACGCGATTAGTGAACAAATTTCTAGCACCGTTAAATTCATGAACGATTTACTTGACTGCTAATTTCAATTAAAGCTAATAATACTCCTGATCTTCTTTTTAAAATGCCTTTATAGAGCCGTTTGTGTCATTCTGGTGATAGTATTTTCTATTGATTAAACATAATCCATGCATAATTCGCTAGTCATAAAAATTTCGATTTTACTCAATAGAAGAGATATTTGACGCTCAATCTGGACTTTAAAGTCTAGTTAATAAGGGTTCAAACGAGGGCACTGTGTAATCAGCTTGCATCAATTCATCATTCAATACTAACCAACAGCGATCATTTTTTTGGTTGTATTCACTAATACTGTAACAGTACAGTAAAACACAAATCACGGAAAACTAAAATACTGGGCAGCTTCAGACGGCGTAACGCGATTTAAAAGTAATTAGTTAATATCTGTTTGAACTATTCGGAAATTAACCAATGTCTTTGGTTAATTCGAAAACGTCTTTAATAGACCCTAATTTTAGTTTTCACTGAAATGAAGTAATCAATCGATCTGCAAAAAAGAGCAAAGATACACGGGTAACTTAGCATGGATTAGATAGAATAGCTGGATCTCTAAGTATTTCCTCATTTTGGTACCTAGTAACGAATTACCATCCCTATAATTAAACACTTCAACGGTTGAGCATATGTGAATTTTGTACCTAGTAACGAGCCTCCCCGCTTTGCTAGTTAGAGAGATCAGAATAACTTACAATAGATTGAAACACAGGCTATGACTGACTCTAAGGAACGACTGACTCTCAACTTTTCTAAAACCGAATTTTACGGTAAAAAGTAAAAATCAATTTATGTAACATAACAGAATGATCCGACCAAAATTTTTTTATATTTTAGGTAGTTTCTTTCCGTGCGGTCTCGAGAGGAATTAAAAACACTAGAACATAACCATTGCCATATATTTCCAGAACAAAACTTTTTAAAAATTTTTCGGTTTCAATTCAATTTATTATAACAACTATTTGAAATATGCGTATTCTACTCTTACTATCAAATATACTTATTTTCTAGCCTTTCGTGCGGATAGCTTAACAAATACAAAACATCACAATTTGGATCAAAGAATGTTTTTTTTTGTGATCGGAAGTTTCTTTTTAATTGCACATCAACCGGTTATCCTAGTCTTTTTTTATGTTATCTTTTCAATTCGTAGGTGGCGGGAATATCTTCACCAATCCTCAATAACTAGTTTTTTTGATAAAATTTTCAAACCGGTTTTTTGACACGGATGGAATCACGATTGAAAGAGCTTTCATATGATATATCACGCAACTCATTCTGATGATTATTCTTTGTATTTGATTTTATGTTAAAAAAATTTAAAAACCAAACAGCCGAAGACAAAGTTCCTCCCCACTTTCTGTGGTCGGATGAGTAAAATAAAAAAAGGCTGGCCCAAAAAAAATCAACTAAATCTTTCCAACATCCGCTGTGTAAAATCCACATTTGACAAAAAAAAAGAGAAAAGACATACTTTCAATAATTTTTTTATTTCTGTTCTTAAGCATTTAGTGCAAAACAGATAGAAATTCAAGCTAAACTGATGGAATTCAATTTCGGAAAGAGATCAAAACATCAAAAATTTGACATTTCTGAGGGCGATTACTTTTCATGTAACAGAAGAATGGGCGTACCCGCTTATACAGGTGAGCTTCTCAAACCTCATTCTCTCCATTGAAATCAAATCTCAGATTTTAGCAGGTATTTTTTTGAAAAAAAAACAAAAAATGGAAAATATTGGTCAAATATTCCCACCACAGACATTTTTCGAAGGTTGTAGAAAGGGTTGTCAAGAGACTAGGGGAGTTTGGAGACACACAGGAGAGTAGGCGGTCTTTCTATTGATACTCTTTTTTCAAAATCGGTGGAACACTTTTTGCGAAAAGTGAGAACATTTTCCCAAGAGTCTCACAAAAAAATTAAATAAAAAACCAAATCCCATACATTTTCATAATACATGTTTTTATCAAACAGGAATTCTAAGTAAACATGCCAAACAAAACATTTGAATTTCAAATTAGCAACGGAACAAACCCTACGATGCGGAAACAACACAGAAAATTTTTGAGTAGACACCAATTGAGCCGAAAAAAATTGATTTTGTAAAAAAAACTTTGAAAAATTTTAAGTTCCCCTGAAAAAATGAATAACCCTTGCAACTACCATGATACTTGATAACAGCACAAGAAAAATCCGTGATGTCGCACCTAAGCTGACAAAACTTGAGCAGACAGATGAAAATTCAATTTTTACCGGAAAAAAAATATTATTTCATAGCCTGGACTCGAACATAAGACATTAAGGAGCAAACAGTTATCGCGTTATCTCCAGGCCAAGTGGAAAAGAAACTGGAAGATGTTAAGATTCAATATAGAGGCGAAGCTGCACTACACAAACTCAAGCGATAAAACGACAAAAAGCAGCTCTAGAAAGTGAAACGAAGTAGAAATAAGCCTTGATTGAGTAAAACAGCGAACAGATGCTATGAAACTTCTAATACTACAAATCGTGATTACACAAAAGCCACCAAATGAGCACTTTTAGTTGCGAATAAGGACGAAAAAAAGTAGAGTCAAACGAATAAACTATGTCGCTAGAGTAACAAGTTAAAGCTTTTCTATTTCGAAGTTTTTATAACGCATGCTCTACTGGTGTAAAAACTAATGAGACTCCTTTCTCATTCGTTCCCCAAAACAATTTTGAATTTTTAGTTACAAAAAAATGTATTGCGACCTAAACAAGTGAAAATGCAATATTTTTTTCCACTAAATTGACCAAAGATGTAAGAACGGAGCATATCCTCCTCCCCATGAAGTGTATTAGCGATATCTTCAAAACTCTACACACCTGTTCTTGTGCACAGTTATTCACGTGTAGCATTAGATCTTCCATTTCGGAGAATGACTTCTTGCAGTTGGGACAAAGCAGCCCACTTGCCACCATCTCCCCTTCCCCTCTTCCTTCTCCTGCATCTGACTGTGTCTAAACAATAACTGAATGAGTTCGAAATCATCAGCCAGGGTTTTCATTGAATTAAACAGAAAACAGACAAGATCAAACGAACGTTTTGTAGTATCAAATGACAGAACTCTAAATTTACTTTTTCATGAAACTCTGTAGGATTTCTAGTTCCTTAAATGGCGTGACTCAGACGCGAAGCATATACTGTTTCACATCGCTAAGCCCCATTGGTCAACTTTGATTCAAAAATGGGCTTTGACTGCACTTAGAAAGCTCATCACTATGAAATTTATCAGCCAGATGCAAAAAAAAACATAGCCAACAGAGTTGGAAAAGTTACAATGAACGCAAGCAAACAAAAAAAACGCCGATTCTTTTTTTTGAAAAAATCGCAACTTTCGAATTTCAAGGTGAAACTTGACCTTAGAGCTCTTTGAATTTCAAAACTAATTTGTGATTGAAAAATAAAATTAACCAAAAATAACTAATTTATGATTTATGATAAGCTATTTTATGATAAGACTTATGATAAACAATCAGCTATTGACGAGGAATTTGATGCACAAATTAAGCAAAAAACTACGCAAAAAAATCACTAACAAATTTACCTCACCAGAATGAACATGATTAATAAAGCCGGTTACACAACCATAATTTTAAAAATTTTTCGACCAGAGTTGTTCAACAAAGTAAAAAACTCAAAGAACTCAGTTTCAATTTTTTTGTTCATTTGATTGATGAGGGTCTTTGACGTTGACTTAAAATTCTAACAATTTCTTTTACGGGTTCAATCAATATCTTGGAAAGTCAAGGAAATGACGAGAGAAAACAATTGAGAAAATAAGCAGACAGAAATAAGACCGAATGACCGCCAGCGCCGAAAAATAACCAAATATTTTTGGCGCTGAATTTTTTTCTACAAGAACTCCTATTTTGCTCTCAAACGATATATATACTACCAATACACTGACCAAGGTATAACCTCATATTGAACAGTTGATATAGATCACCATTTGACAACTCTGTGAACAAAATTTTTTACGGGAAAAAGTCTAGTACCCGGTGGCAATATCCTTGCATACAGCAGGGGAAATGATACATCAAGTGGATTCTCTTTCTATGATAACCAGCATTTTTGAGTTTGTTCACTTTTCTATATTATCTCGAATAATCAAGAGTACGAACGTAAGTTACAAGCGTTGACACACCTCTGGTGCTTCGAATTTTTGACAGCTCATGATAAACAGCAAATATCGGAAACAAGATCTGCAGCCTTTGAATGTATCCTGACAGCATCCGATTGCATGGCTAATAATTTCAAATTTTACAGAGTTTTTCTTAATAAAAATTTCGATGAACAATGAAAAAGCCCTATCTCGAAAACTTAGAATGCCTTTGGAGAAACTTTGAGGCCAAATTTGCAACCATTGAGAGTAGCCTGATAGCACCGCACTATAGAGTTGGGAATAAACGTAAGTTTATCGAAAATGTTGAAAACATTTGATCTCGATTTGAGCATTTATATTTAGAGGCAAGATTCGGAACGCCTGAGAGTCTTACTAAAAGGTGGAAAATTTCAACAATTGGAAACTTTTAATAGGTAAGTTCTTTGAAAATTTTTGAAACCAAAAAAACGTCTTATCTCGGAAACTTAAAACATTTCAGCAGTCGCATTTGGACGCAAGATTTTCAAATCCTGAGTTTAATCTCCTGTACCCAGCTAAAGGGTTGCAAAATTCAAATCACTTGAGTTTTTTTAAATCTATGTTTTCTGAAAATTGAAAAAAAAATCATCTCTCGCAAACTACAAGAATTTGAGCAGCCTTATTTGGATGCAATATTCGCAACTCCTGAGAAAACTCTGATAGCCTCCAACTACAGGATTGGGAATTTCAAATTTGAAAAAAAAACTCGTTGAAGTTTTCTGAAACTTTTTTGAAAAAATCACAAAAAAACGTCATATCTCGAAAACTACTTAGTTTTTCAGCCATCAGATTTGAAGACAAGGTTCGCAATCTTTGAGAGTACTCTATGAGCACCCAACTACAGGGTTGGGAATTTCAAATTTTGAAAACAAAACATAATTCAAGTTTTTTGAATTTTTTTTTAAACTTCGAAAACTACAAGAATTTGAGCAGTCATAATTGGAGGTAAGGTTCGCAACCCCTTCGAGTACTCTAATAGCCCCCAACTACAGAACTGGGAATTCAAATTCTGAAAAACTTTAAAAATCAAAAATCGTCGTATCTCGTACACTAAAAAGATTTGAGCATTCTAAATTGGAGGCCGAATTCGCAACCCCTTTGGAAACCCTGACAGCATCCCACTATTGGGCTGCTTATTTTAAACTCGGCTGAATAACTACTGAATTCAAACTGGAAAATCGAAAAAGGTTGAATAACCACTGAATTCAAACTGGAAAATCGAAAAAAAAATTGCTTAAACGTGAAATTCTTTTGTTAAACATGCAAACATGATACGTTGAAAAAACTCAAGCGTGGCGAGATAGCTGTCACACGCATTTAAATGTAGTATAGATGGATAGATTTTTTTTCAATAAAGGAAATTAAAATAGAACATTGCTTTACAACGACGCAGTTGAATTTAAAAAATCTTTGACGATGAGAACTCTGTGAAAGTATTTGAGCTGCTGGAAAATACGATCTCATTAAAAGTGTCCTAAAAAGTGAATTAGCCAACTAAAACACTAAATTGAAAACAAACTTGACATCACGGAAAAATTTTCATTGAATATAAAAAACTGAAGCATCAATTTAGTGTCTTTCAAAGAGAAACCACCGATATTTACAGCTACGACCGTTTTCAAAACTACTAATGTTTCAAGGGTTACCAAGATACATCACATAGATGTGGCAGTGATTGAGCTTTTATCGCACCATTTGTGTGTTCTTAGTTTCGAACTTACCTGTGAGTCATCCCGTCGTCGAAGCTTATCTTGTAGGTTCTTCACGGTGAACATTTTGGGCTCTTTCAACTTACCATGGCTTCTAAAAAAAGACAATACGGCACGCTTCTACCAGCTATTTTGAGAAATCATGTTGTCAGGACAACTTCCATTTCATGCAAAACATCTCATTACAAGTTTGAAGAATAGGGCTGCTTTGGATTGATTCGCTTAAGAAACAAACAGCAGTTTTACAAGAAATTCTTAAATTCTTACTTATTCCATTGAAGTTTAGCAAATAAAAAAAATGACAATCTCAGCACGGGCGGAATTAGAGAGGGGGGAATCCTCTTCCTCTGAGGGATTCTACCCCCTGACTACCCAAAGGGTCCCCAATTTTAAAACCATTTCCATTTTTGGCAGTCTGACCCTAAATTTTTCTAACCTCGCCTTCAGAAAAATCCAGTTTCTAAAGTGGCGCAATTTTCTGGTAAAATTTTCAAAAAATGCCGGAAAACGCGTTTTGTAGCCTGTTCTTTTTTGAAAACAGGGTCTTTTAGTGCTTCGGAAGAGCTCGGAAAATCATTTTGGTCGACTTAGAGAAAAAGTTAACATTTTTGGAAAGTTTTACACAACCCTCTACCTCGAGAAAGTCCTAGATCTGCCTCAGAATCTTACCAGCATTGGAAATAAACAATAAAAATTAAAATCGATGATATACCAAATTTTCATGAGCAAATAATTCATCAGGAAAGGTTAAATTAAAAAAGAGCATAACGAAAACTCGAAAACAGAAAGCGTGGACTCAAAACACATAACCAACAAACAAAGCATTTATCAGTTTTCGATTTCCGGAAAAAGTTATCACATTAACGCTCTTTACTTATCAGGAATCTTTAATGATTAACTTTTTGCATAAAATTAACTCAATTTGCAAAGGTCTTTTTTATTCCACTGGAAAAAAATAAAAACTTAAATTCATCTACGTTTCTTTTTTTTTTAAATTATGAGCGTAAATTGCCTTCCTGTTAGCAAATGAATATGAATTAGAAAAAAAATCGAAAACAAAAAAATTAAATTTGAGCGTGCACAATTTTTAAGACTTCAGATAATCAACATGACCAATATAAGTGTCTGCATTAAAAAAAACAACACGAGTTTTGATGACAGAAATCTCAGAGTCTAATCAAACCAAAATTAACACAACTCAAAGTGAAAAATATATAAAGAAAATAGATTGGAATTAAATTAAAAATTAGTATACAAAACATCCTGTAGAATGTGACGTACGAAGAAATGAATGTGTTCCAATCTGTTAATGTTGCCTGTAACCAAAGTTTCAAAAATTTCTTCGGGATGTTTTTCTGGACAGGCAAAAAGAACAAATTCCAACACATTCATTTCTTCGTACTTCAAATTACTTTACAAGCATGATGAAAAACAATGAAAAAATGAACAACAAAACCCAAGTCGGTTCAAACAAAAATGACAGTTTCAAAAAACCTTCGTATAATTCAAATTTGTAAGGTTGAACTATTTACTCCAACTGAGCAAGCCTATCTGCTGGAAAATAATTCAAGTATGTACATAGTAAAAAAAGGATCCAGCTCTGAGTGATTAAAAAAACGACTTTTCAGAAATGTATAAAGCTCCAAATTTTGTTGTCAAAACTGCAGAAACTATAGAAATTAGACATATATATTTGGCAGATTTTCTATTAATTTAGATTTGCCTTCAAAAGTCATATACGAAGAATATGCCGGAAAACAGAAATTTTAGCACAAAATTTTTTCTACGATAAAATACAACAAAGTTACTAAGTATTCGAGGATTGGGAATCCAAAAATTGCAAAAAATTGCCCTAAGTCAGCAGTACAATCAAGATAATTTGTTAGATTGTTAGAAACAAAAAACAAGGGAATAGCAATTGATACATGCAAATAATTAAGCCAATCTTTAAGAAAGCTGCACTCCAAAAATATGGAAAAAAACTTAGCAATATAAGTCAAAAATTAAAGCCGGCAATCAATCAGCTGAAAAAATGGAACTGGATATAGAGGCGAAGCATAGCTTCGCACAACGTGCGATGCCAAACAAAGATAGCATTGGCAATCCAACAACAAAAACGAGATGAAAGACACTAAGACAGACGATAGTCTAAAACAGACGAAAATTTTTGGATTGCAGAAAAACTGGTCCCGAAAGGATTTAAAATCAAGGGCTTTGTCGTCTCAAGCATGGGTTTTATCACTACGCCAAAAGCTCAGAACGATCCATGAATTTAAATTAATAATGAAGCAAGTGGAACACGTGTTTTCACATACAATTTCTGTGAGCGAAGTTCTTTATTGAAAAAATCTATATTATCATAAGTTAAAAATCAACAATTACACCGGCGTGTGAATATACAAATACAAATTGCATAAAAATGAACAAAAAATACTAATATTAGATTGTCGAAAAGAATTTATGATTCTATCAACAAAAATTTTTACGTAAGTCTCTATCAAAAAATTTTGAAATTCAAATGAAAACATTCGTTTAGCATTAAATTTTCTCAGCTTTACGTTTAAAATGTTCCAATTATTACAACTACTGTTTGATACAGATTTCTTCCCCCAATTTCTTTATAGGAATCCATTTTATTTCATTTGTTTTGCGCGTTCGTTTAGTTTCACAGATACTCTTATGGATACCTCTACTTTGCCTTTAAAACTTTACAAGGAGCTTACAAAGTCCGTTTTGCAGGAACTAAGACGCCAAAAGCAGACAGACAAAGCTCCTAAAAAGCCGAAAACTTTCAGTTTACAAAAAAAAAGACTCAAACTGGAATCAAGCTCCCGGACTGTTTTTTTTATTAGCCCTCGGCCTTCTTAGTGCAAGACCAACCGCGGGGGAGTCCCGGGCTTTGTCGTCCAGCATGGCTGTTAGAGCAACTTAGAAAAAGTTGAACAATTAAAAAAAATCTGCCTAAAGGAAATAATTTGACCGTCCGGGATCTGTGTTTTTTTTTGCAAGCCTGATTTTTGTGCTTTGTTGGACTATCGCCCGTCTGTAAATACAATCAACAGACGGGCGATAGTCCAACAAAGCACAAAAATCAGGCTTGCAAAAAAAAACACAGATCCCGGTCGGATCCGAACCACAAACTTTAGCCGTTTCAAGATGGTGTGTTACCTCTACTCCAGATACGCCAGGTGGTTGATTGAATTTGAACTTATACTAAAAGTATATGAGTGAGACCAGGCTCCAGGAGGCGAGTCCTTATTTCCGGGGAAAAAATATACTACGCGATTGCAAGACCCATACTTATCGCAAAGATAAAAGATTAAAAATTGAAAAAGCAGTTGTTTTTTTCCTCTAACTATTTCGGTTTTTCAAATTTCGGCTACGAAAACAGTCAGTTGCTTAGTAATAAGCTTTTTGCTTCTTATACCACTTCCATCTCGTCTGGTCGTTTCTCGGTCTATCGAAATCCAGTGACAAGAGCAGGAACATACGCAAATTTAATCTTCTCTGAGAAATATTAAGCCAAAAAATATGTTCTGAAAAAATTTCACCAGAAGATTTCAGAATGATTTTGATATAAATGTTTCAACCCAGATACCCACAGTTTAAGGTAGTCATGAAATTTTGATAGGATGTTGCAAAATCAATGAGATGTCACTTAAGACATCATGTATTCCATTTCAACAGCGATAAAGGAGAACAAATATAAAAACGCGACCACAATTAATGCGAACACAATTAATTGTAAATAAATTCAGATTTCAGTTTGAAACCTTCACTGACTTCTTTAGCTAAAAGTTATTTTATTCAGAAAAACTGCTCTAAGATGGGCACAGTCAGAATAAAGATTAACTCAGGCTCTGGAAAACAAATATACAAAAAATTTGTTTCAAGTTGTGCAACAAAGTAGAAAACTTATCATTGAATGAGCACCAATGTGATCAAGCGCAGAAGGTAATTCAACCTGTTGAAGCGACGCTGAGAATTTTAAATTTATTTCTTTTTTTTATGGAACTGATTGGCTATACCACTTATCCAGAAAAACAACTTTATAGATTAAAGCAAAAACTGAAATTTCGAACTCTTATAGTTCACTTATCTTGAATCTCATGATACATTTTAAGGGAATATATACGAAAAAAGAAAACAAATTTCAGACTTGAAAAATGTTTTTTGTTTTAATTGCTTTGTTTCAATTAAAACAATTTTTTTGCGCTTTGTGGTGATGTACGATTATGGGTGTACGCTTTATGATTCAATAATTTAAAAAATATATATCTCAATGCTTTTACCAAAACAATTAGTCGCAATCAATTAAAATAAGTATCTCTGATTATAAGCATAAGGTTGTCTATAGATTATTTAGGCTCAATTAAAACTTCTTTAATGATATTCATATTCTTTTAAATTAGAGTATTCTAAAGTGCTCTACTCTCTTAGCCAGTTTTTGTTTTTCCGCGTTAAAATTTTTTGTTAGTCATTTTATCCTTCTAGTGGTGTCGAGTGATTTGCTGAAATCTTGTTTGGAAATAAAAACGCTTGTCATTTTCATGTTCTCGTTTTAAAACTTTTGAGAGCTATTTCAGCAGTTCGCATACGTGTACACCCTTGATTGTGTAAATTCCCTGCCTTTTACTTTTTGTCCTAACTTGTGATTTTTGAGGCGAAACGCAAAACAATAACTTTTTTGTGGTACTTCAGATTTCTTTAAGCGGTTTATTGGCAACTCCGTAAACTAAAACACCATATAAACATATTGGTCGTATGAACTGCAGTAAACTCTAATGTTTCATTATATTGGTTGAAGTTAGATTTTGATCCAAAATTAATCGGAAGTATTCAACATTTAAGTTCAATCGTGTTTTGGTACCCGGTTTAGTTTTTAATTTTTTTACCCCATTCATAATCATTATAAGTTTTTAAATAGCTTGTTGTAAGTTTTTTATATTCCATCCATTCTGATATTAGTTCCAAATCTATTTTAAGTTCTGTAATTTCTCCAAAATACTAGTGTCATCGGCAAAATGACATTCATTGTGCTGTGGTATTTTGGGAACAACATAGCTATATACCCCACAATAGCTATGTTGTTCCCAA